TTTATATATGCTATGCCTATATTTATGGATATTTTATTAACTAGCTTTGAATAAAACGAAGTCTGCATTGCATACTATTACAGCCTCATTTTAGAGCAGACATTTTGGCTCTTCTGGCTTTCCTTATTTCTTTTGTCTTATTTTTCAACTCTTCTGAGAGAATTTTTAATTCTTAAAATAGATCTGTCTTCTCAACAGTCTTTAATCCTTAATTTTCCTGTTATTTAATCTCTTCAGTATTTTTGGAAATAGTTTACCAAGATTTTCTTCCACATGTTATCACAATGATAATACCTTTACTTTTACTATCCTACAGAAGCAATAAAGAGAATTTGAGTTGCTTCAAATATTGTTTCTCTGTTTAACTGCAAAAATGTTTAAGTGATAGACTTTTCTCCTGAGGCTTCAAGAATATGTTCCCATCCTGGATTCTCTAGTATCATTTTAATCTCATCATTTCGTGGTTACTAACTACTAACCTTCGACCACTTAACACAGTTTTAGTACCTTAATTACTTTACAAAATGGAAGTAATTATATTATCTACTTCATAAATCTGTTGAGGCCATAATATGGAGTGAAATAAATCAGACACACAAGCTTAACTATTTCGTAGTTTCTGTTACGTGAGAAACCCAAATTATAAATAAACAGCAAAATAAAAGATAGATAAAAGGAAGTAGGGAGATAGATCTTTCTCAAATGGGAAGGGGATGAAGAGATGGAGGAGAGAGGAAGAGAAGGAAAAAGGCATGAAAAATAATTGAGATGCATTATATGCATGTATCAACTCCACACAAGGAAAGTAGACGTATGTACTGCAAACATGTACTAATAAAAAATGTTAAAAATTACAAATGTGTTATAAAAGATCAATCAGTTGACACATAATGCCAATGTTAAATAGTCTCTAGGCCATACTAAATGTACACTTAAATTAGGCTCTTAATATTAGTTTTTATTGTTCTCTTCTTTAAATGTCCTTGGATAAGACTGGTGATAACCAGAGAGACAGAGACAGAGAGACAGAAAAAGAGAGATGGGAGGGATTTCATTAAACATAGTAAGGTATAACTTTGTGGTAATTAATTGTAGAATGCAAAATCTCAATACCCACCCCTGTTTTAAAGATGGCTTGAGCCCTTTACCACTCAGTCATATCGAGTTTTTCCCTTATCTTCAAAAATCTCAAGAACAATGGCTGCAAAGTGAGCTGATTGATACAGAAGTTATTCCAATTCCCACAGACTATGGTGCTGATTGATAGATTTTTTCATAAATATCCATTAGACACTTAAATCTTTGTCAAAGATCAAAACTGAAATCCTGGGACTCTGACAAATACATAGCGGGAGCAGGTACTACCCAAGCTTTTCTGTTCAGTTTGTACCACGCAGTAGCCTCCAGCCTCCAGGCAGGTGCTTTCTGTAGACTGCACATGAGAGAATCTCTCTGTCTGTCCATGGACTCGTACAGATGCTTAACTTCACACAGCGGTATCCATGAGTGAGTCAGTTTGGATGTAAGAGTTAATCGTCTCACGTTTAATAACAGGATAGAACTGAGCGTTCTGATATCTCTGAGGACATTTTTATTCCATATCTCTCAGTTTTCTGACCATCTACCACAGCTGCTGGTCATCTCCCAACTTTAGGCAGTAAACTTCTAAAAAAGAGAATTATTGCAATGTGTTCCTCTTATTAACTGAATTGCAACTACATGGCAAAATAAGGTATATATTTTCTCATGTTGCATCTATCATTTCAATAAGCAATCTTTTTTGTTCAGAGATGATTAGCTTGAAATTCCTTTACTGTAGTAGATAACTTGGCTATTTAGAAATAACCTTTGTGGTATGTTTTTGTTTAGATTGACCGTGCCACTTAAATTTTATACTATAGCCAAGGAAACAATATATTAATATTACTCAAAATGAATCTTATTCTGTTAGAGTTAAAATTTTCCAGGTTATAGTTATTCAATATATACTTTTCAAAAGCCCCATCATGAGAAGTATTTTCTATTTTGAATTACCATGGATATGTTTTGCTCATTCACTACATAAAAATAAAAAGTCAAGAAAAATTTTAAAAACGGTACTGTTTTTATTGTATGTGCATGTGATTATTAATTTCAATAAAATGACTGCAATTTACACAATAATCTTTAGCTTGAGGTTTTACAAGGTATCAAGACTATAAGCAACTTGATAGGAAAGTACATAAGGGTTACTGGCAGTCTAAGACATTGATTATCTCTTGAGGTAGACAGAATTCAAATTGCCTTCACTAGCTGAGCAATATGCAGTGGAAAATGAGCTTGATACTTATCAAGAGGCTCTTTCCCTTGCATTTGCTATATAACCAAGCTGCTTTTTATTTTGTTGCTCTTCAAGAACTGTGAATAGGAAAGAAAGAAAATAATTCAGGTAAGTAAACCAGGGGCATTTCAGGACAGGATTAAAGAAAACAAATATGTCAGAGTTATGCCTTGTGTTACTTGTGATATAAAATGAGAGTCACACACAGGATCTAGGATGAACAAATGCATGGAGTCTTCCCATGTCTGCCAGTAGGTATAAGCAAAGCTAGAGGCTGTTCTTTTGATAAATGATCAATACTTTTGCCTGACACTACCCTAGCTCCCTGCTGTTGCTGATTGAGTCTGAATTTTAATTGAGCAGTCAACCTTTATGGAATTACATTTCCAAGAGTCAATTAACATCTCCCTAATCCCCTGCAATTCTGAAACACTATTGTTTTGCAGAGTTAACTTCTTCAATTTCACTTACAAGACAATGTATTCTTACTTGACTGGTAAAGGCAAAAACAAATATCAAATAATTGTTTTAAATTTTTAGTTGAATGCCTGTGTGCAAAGAATATTATATACCCACAATACAAGTTAAGAAGCACTAGTATGGATTAATGAATTCTTTCAGACAAAAGAGCTTTAAATTGATTGCGTGTCTTTAGGTCATCTTACACTTGAAAATTTACTCCACAGATATTTTCCTTGCAAAACTTAAAATCACACAAAACACATAATCATTCATAGCATCAATTGCTTTCAATTCAAGCTAAACTTCTCACCTCCTATATTAACAAACATTTATATAGTTTTATTTTCTGAAAATTTATTATCTATTTTCAGAAAAGTGCAGGTTGTTGATAATAATGCATACAACTAAAGGATTTTTGCAGACTTCTTTTTTGAGGATTTCAACATTTTAGTACAAAATACAGGCAATTTGGTAGTTTTTCTTTGCAAGATTTTAGAATCTTAAATTTATAAGGCTAAAATGTCAAATTAGCACAACTAGTATTTCTCAACTATCAAGTTTATAGACATTTTATTAATAGACATAGACATAAAGTAGAGAGCACATTAAACAGGACGGCACAGAAAGTATGTGTTATAGTATTCACAGCCTATAATAAAACTACAGACTAAAAACACACATATACTGCTACGGTCTGGGTCTAGGTGTCCCCCCAAAGTCTTACTTGGTCATAGGCTTGATATAGCATGTGTGAAGGTGGAATTGATTCATAGGTTCAAGGGCACTAGGATTAAGGGGGTGAGTGCTACCCCTATAAGTAGCCTGAATAAGATAAAAGGGGCAGGCAGACGCTGTTAAATTCTCTCTTGTTACCTTAGCTACTTTGTGAGCACCATGTTGTTTCTGCTCTGTGATACCTGTTTGTGCTCCCTGCCTTGAAGCCAGCCAATTTTGGATTGAAACCTCCATGAACTATAAGCCAAATAGACCCCTTCCCCTCTAACTTTTGGAGCTAGGTATTTTATCTCAGCAGCAAGAGAAAAGTAACTAACACACGTACATGAGAGGCTTTTTGAAGTAATGAACTAGTCAAACATAAATCTATTTGATTCCAAAATTTTTCATTCTGTTATTCTGAAATCCTCTGACACTCTCTCCTTCACTATCTTCAACGAAGTTCTCAAAAATGTAATTGCAATTTAATATTATAAAATTTATAACTATTAAGAACAGCCTTGGAACTCTTTTAATATTATATATTTTATTTTGCAAAACAAGAGTAGTTATATATTAACTTTAGTTCAACATAATTCACTCTATCTGTCCTGCAACTGAACTGGAAAATAGAAGGCCATTAAAATAATCCAGATAAGAAAAAAAAGAATAATCCAGCTAAGTAAACCTTCTAATAAACGAGCAAAGTTAATTTTGATGAGTACATTTAACTTATCAAGGAGGGATTAAGATTCTTATTAGCTAATCAGTTGTCATTAAAGCAGTTCAAACCTGTAGTAGAAAAACATTCTACAATAAGGGAAAAAAATTGAAGCATTGATTAGAAGAATTGGGTCTAGGAATACATAGGAACCTTATAATCCTAAATTTTTATAACTCTAGTTTTTGTAAAAAACCAGAATTGAAATATACATTTTTGTCTAGCTTTTTTGGACTATAGAGTTTTTTATTTTTACATTATTTTTGTGTCAGAATTAGAATGTTTAGAATACTGATAGATAGGGATAAGGTTCAAGAAATTAGTTTTTGAAAATAAATATATAATATCAATGTACTAATATCAAGTTGAAAAATCAACTAAATAGATAATAGATAAAAGAAAAGGGATAATTTATAGGCTAGAATAGTGGTAATCTAACAGAAAAGTAGAGCAAAAGCGAGACCACAAATATTAAATTTCAAATGGAAACAATGGATAAAGTACAGAAGAAATAAAAGAATTTGTTTAAGAAATGTTTCAAGGCAACATTTTATAGAAAACAAAATTTATTTTAAATGGTGTAAAGTTTTAATCATTAATCAGAAGAACACATATGTAAGTATATTATCTAATGAAATACAAATTATTTTCCCAAAACATAAAAACATTTACATATTGTTTTAATAATTTTTCAGACCTTAAGTTTGTAAATTAGTAAATCACATGGAGATTTTTCAAGGTAAAACTGGGACTATGTATATTGCAATGAAATGATGTACTTACCATCATGATTAGGATTTCCTAGTGTCCACGGCTCATCGGAGTCAAAATGAGTGTCTCCTCCGATTCCCGGTCCAGGGAAATAGGCATGTGCCAAAAATCCTCCCTCCCCATCGAAGGGAGAACTGTCTCCGTGAAAGCCAGATGCAAAGATGATGGTGATATCCACATCACGTTTGCCATTTTCTAATTCACTGTAGGGAACTTCTTCAAATGTCAGAGGTGTTACATTCTGCCACACATCAAAGGCACGGCGAATAGCTTTACGGGTCTCAGGGTCTCCTACCTTTGGAGTTACGTTCTTTATACTGAAAGTTAGAACAGATAATAATCAGCACGGTTTTATGATTTGCCACCTGATTTATTACAGAACTTGATCTAATCAGTTTAACAAAATATCAAATAAAAGTCATATTCAATAGAAATGAAATTTATTCATTTCTCTTGTCTCTATATCTAGTTTCCACTCTGTTAGGGTCATTTAATTATCATTACATGATATCCATTTATCAAGACTGTCAGAGAAAGGAACTCTGCTGAACGCTTAATAGTAACTAAATTTATTGTTCACCTTGAACAACAATACAGAAATTTGCCAAATAATCAAACAGATGCAGAAGTTTTGAGCTGAAATAAAAATTTCAATTTCGTTCTGGCCTTAACACTCTTGGTAGCACACTGAAGTATCTGCACATATCAACTCCAAAAGGTGCCTTTGTTTTTCTTCATTATGAATACTAATTAGCACACAAAGCTATATTTGTTTTGATGCTAATATAAATTGATGAAATAGTCATTAATACTGTTTTTGATTAATGTAGCATTGATCATTTACCTTTTTCCAAGCTAATTTTACTGGTTTTCCTAAGTGGATTATAATACTAGTAAATATATCTTATATTTTAGTACCTAAATCCATGTAATGCACATGTAGAGCAATGCATAAAATCCATAGGGTTTCATAAATAAGCTTCAAACCCTTTGAACCAATAATCTACCCAACATGACCTTACATGAAGAAAATATTTTAATTAAAAAAGAATATAATATTCAATTCTATTTTAATGCAAAGAGAGGGGATGACATTGAAGTGAATATGCAATCACAAAAGAAAATTGAAGCCATGAGCCGAGGATTTAGCTCAATGGTTCTGCCGCTTGTCTTGCAACTGCAAGGGCCCAAGCTCCATTCCTGGTACCAAAAAAAAACAAAACAAACAAACAAACAAACAAAAAACAGACAAGAAATTTTGAAGCCAAGGAATTTACAATTATGGAGTGATAGTCAAATCATGGTGTTTCTTTCTGCTACATGTTATTGTATTGATAGAATTTAAAAATATTTTCCCTTTATAAACAGTTTGCCAGCATGGAAAACCTTTACAATGACATTTCTAGAGAGCAAAATAATAAGTAGATTATACACATCCCAACTTTAAAACTGTCCAGTGATATGGTTTATTTCTAGTTGTCTTCCCAAGAGCCTCATGAGCTTATTACTGGGGATTTTGGAAGACGTTTGGATCGTGGAGCATTACATCTGACTTACTTTCCGTACGTGGGATCTGGGTGGAAGAGGCAGGTCACTGAGGTCACGACCTGGAAGTTTGTCTCTCTTCCCTCCCCCTCCCTTCTCTCTATGCTTCCTAACTGCCATGAGGTGAGCAGCTTCCCTCTGCTTGGACCTTTCTACCACGGTTTTGGGCTGGAGCCACAGACCATGCAAGGCCTGAAAGTTCTAAAACTTGAGCCAAAACAAATCTGTCCTTTAAATTGAAGGTGTCTGATGTTTTGTCCCAGTGGGGAAAAAAAATTGACTATGACATCCAAACAATTACAAATGTTAAGAGAGAATTATGCTAAACTAATAATGACAGTGAGCATTTACTAAGGCAATCGCCTTACCACATCTTATTTTGCTTCTGCTTGTCGATCAACCAGATGAGATGATGAGTAAGAAGAAAAGAAAAAGGAAGAGAAAGAAGCGGAAGAGAAGTTAAGATTTATAGGAACTTGGAGAAAAGCTCCTAAGTGGTAGATTTGAGAAAGCTCTGAAACATTTCATCTTAAGTATTCTCAATAAGCCATGGTCTTGATATTAATGCTGGGCCACATATTCAAAATAAGTTGTCCAATTTTATTCTAATAGTCTAGAACACATTTCTGTGAGTGTCTGTTGTTAAACATTATTCATTATATATAAAAGTAATGAAGCAGCAAATAAAGTGGAAACAGAGTGGGGAGGAAAAAGACTCCAGGAAGAAATGCTAAGTGAAAGGACTTGAAGTAGAGATATTCTTAGCAAATTTAAAGATAAGCAAAGTAGCTGCTGTTGTTTGGGAGGAGACGGAGGGTGAACGTCAGAGAACATTGTGTTGTCAGTGATGGGGAAAGAAACTAGAGCATTATAAGCAAAGATGTGACAATTACCTTTAAATAAATGACTGAGGTGATATCTATGATGTAGATACACTGAAGGGGAGTAAAGGCAGAGGCAGGAAGACCCATCAGGTGCTATGGTAAATACAGGTGTGAGATGATAATGCCTTGGAAACAGTGGTAGCAAAGGAGACACTGAGAAGCAGTTGTATTTTGGGTATGTCTAGTGGATATACTTGCCAAGATGTATGATTAGTCATCATCTGATGGAGAACACCCTGAGCGAGCTGTAAATTCATAAATTGCTCCAAGAGATGGTGTCTTAGATGAGAGTTTTGATTGCCCTGAGACCTCTATTTATGCATTAAGATCTTGTTTTGTCTTTTTTTAATCTGTCTGCCATACCCTTGGTCCAGTGATTGGGTCTGATCAGCCTCCAGTAATCAGCTATAAAAGAAAAGGAAGAACCAAGGGAGTCACTAGTTTTTCAACTGAACCAAAAGACAAAGCAAAAGAATTTGTGGATGTTCAAGGAAAATGATAGACAGTGGTTTGTTGCTGTTCATTAGCTTCCACATCCTATTCAGCATGGTGCCCTGAATTCTATTTTGAGAAAAGTAAAATATTGACAGATGTTGAGGCATCACAGTCCTTTGTTATGTCTGACTTCCTGTTTCATGGCTTAAGAGCATTGAAACTCTGAGCTTCTAGACTCATTTTCCTAGGAGTCATTCATTGTCTTTCTACTGTATAGGGTTTCAGAAGACTCTCTTTAGTCGGCAGATAATCCTATGGCACACTGTTTGGAAGAATTTATTCCATAATGGGTGCTGCTCTAGGTGCTGGATTCTGACTTCATAGACCTTATAAGCTTAGTTACAAGAGACAGACAATAAAAAGAACAAAAAAGAAAGACATTTCAGGGGTGAGGAGGTGAAAAGATGAAAAATATCATTCAATGACAGGAGAAGCACATGCCGAACATTATCAGGGAAAACAATCAGGGAGCAGAAGAGTCAGGGAGAAGACCAAGCCAACTTGTCCAGTTTAAAGAATGGGACTGCTCAGTGAGTATTAAGACATTTCAGGGGTGAGGAGGTGAAAAGATGAAAAATATCATTCAATGACAGGAGAAGCACACGCCGAACATTATCAGGGAAAACAATCAGGGAGCAGAAGTCAGGGAGAAGACCAAGCCAACTTGTCCAGTTTAAAGAATGGGACTGCTCAGTGAGTACGAGCAAAATGATCATGGAGGGCAGTGCTAGGGAGGATTTACACACAGAGACACACTAATATTCCAGCTCCAAATATGACTGTGTCTGATGGGAAATGGATAAAGAGATAAGAATGGAAGTGATAGAACATTTCAGAAGTTCACAAAAGAGAAGACAAACATTGCTAAGAGTCAAAGCCATAGAAATAAAATTAGTTTCACTATATGTTCTGAGAAAACTGTCAATGGGGATGGATATGTATTCAATGTGTACTGGAGAAACTAACTTTCATTTCAAATAAAAAAACTTATAATACAGAAAAAAATGAAAACATATCAATATTTGCTTACATGTAAAAAAATGATTCTGAGAAGCCTATAGCCAAAAAGACAATAAAGAAAAATAAATGCAAAGTACTACTTGGATTTCCAAATATATCATTGTGTTTTTTATAGCTCTGCACCGATGAGCTTCCAAAATACACTTCACCACAGTCTAAGGGATGTCACTGGTAAATACCAACCATGCACATGTGTGTGCTCCAGAGTCAGAGCTAGAATTGTGAACTGAATGTGAACAAAAACAAGATGCTACGTCGTTAAAAAACTGCATTCTGTTATTAATGTCTACTGACTGAAATAACTAAATGCTCAGAGAGAACATATGGTAACATGAGGCAAATGAAAATGCCATTCTTAACAATTTTATAAACAATACGCGAGTGATTCAGTAAATTTACCCAATAAGAGGCAATTCTATAAAGTAAAATGAAAGTTAAATGTGAAAAAGTTAATAAAGCTAATTTAATTTTGGCAGCTTGGTAGAGTGGTTTGAGCCCAGGACCTTCACTCTGATCTACATCCCTAGTCCTTTTTTCCAATTATTTTTTATTTTGACACAGAGTCTTTCTAAATCGCTTAGTGCTAAGTGGCTCAAATTTGAAATTCTCCTACCTTTGCCGCACAGAGTCCTGAGATTACAGGTGTGTGCCACCATGCCCTATTAAAGCTAATTGAATTAAAATATTTTTATTTGCCTCTTCCCTTAGTAAAAAAGTAAACACAGTTCTCATTTTAAAAAGAAAGAATTTCAGTGCTTGCTTCAGCAGCACATATACTAAAAAGAATGAATTTCATTTTAAAAGTCTCTATGTGGCACTTTTATTATATAATTTCACTGGTTCTTTAAAATTACAATTCTCATAGATTTATAAACTTCAATCCAAAAAGCTGATAAATGTTATCTTTGATGACCATGCCCTATACAATCCTACATACCATTACTAAGAAAAAAGTTTTTAGAATTTATTATGCATCAGAATAATGGATAGTATCAGGAAGGTTTCAGCTAACTTCTAGGATAACTGTACTACTTAATATTTTCTAGCTTTAACATAATTAGATACATACCAGTTCATTTAATAATAAGTCTATATATTTTTTTCTTCTTTATTTTTTTGATACAGTGATAAATCTTTTCCCAAATTAGATTACTGTTTAATCTCTATATTGGCAATGAGAACAAAGGGTTAATACTGTTATCTTTGGTTAAGAAACAGAAATAACATTTTTATGTCAAAATTATTTTGGTACAAAGAGGGCTAAATTCCTTTTAGTTGATTAAACAGACAAAAGTGAGTTCTTCAAGAAACACTACTAATATCCAAAATGAATATCAACTAAGAAGAACTTATTATAATACAGAAAGTAAATA